TTGAAGGACGGGAATGGGAATGATCGCCCCGCCCCCATCATCTCTAAGTGAGGTTATCTTTTAATTGGACCCAACATATACTGTATCAAAATAACAAACAAAAGATACTTAGTTCTGTTTGATAGTGATTAAAATCAAATTTTTAATGGATTTTGATAAAGTTGATAAATATATAGCGGTAAATTTGTTGATCTCGTGTAATATGTGATTAAAATCCACTATTAATTTTGATTTAAATTAAAATTTAAAATTTAAAGAGTACCAAACAAGGGCTTAATGTTCGGACTTTTTTTGTCAAAAATAAATTTTCATTAACGATTCTGAGGTCCCATAATATTTTTGACACAATAAATTAATTAAAATACAAAAGAAAGGTGACATCACATTTGTACTTTTGCTTTTAACAAAGAAGAATTTGCCTACGTTTGAATTTTCAAGATGCATAATTGCACTGACACAAATACGATGTAGTCACTTATTGAGAAGAAATACTTGGATAATGTTATATGTGAGTAGCCTCCACTTCATCGGATGATCTAATCTCATCTAGTGAGGTGATACCACCTCAGGACTTGAAATGAAAAGTATGGAGGTGGTGTCACCTCATTGGGCAAAATTGGGCCACTCGATGATATGACGGCTTCTCATTGAACGATTGCACCATGTAAAATAGTCTGATCGTCCAACCAAACATCTCTCCTTATGAGGGGTACGTGATACTTTTAGAAAAAATGTATATAACGGTGTCAGCCAGTGTCACAAGTACTTTTTTGGACCACTACTTTTTATTTAATAATTCCGATTTTCGAAAAATGCATATAATGGTGCCAGTCAATGTAACAAGTACTTTTTTGGACCACAATTTTTAATTTAATAATTTTGCCCCCATTTGAGCCACATTATTATAGAAATTAGAATGATAAATATAACCGTTATGGGTCCTACAAAAAAAATAAAAAGTCAGATATGTTGGCTTGATATGATGGATAACGATCATATTCTTCATTTTAATGAGGAAATAATGAGATTCAATCAGGGCCTTTGATTTTCAAAATAGTACATTATGTTAAAAACCTAATTTTTAACGATAACAAATAGGGGCTTATAGTAGCTATGTTGTTTTTAGAGAGATTCGTGCAAAACCATTTTAGAAAGAGGATATACTTTTGAAATTTTGATCCTCATAAATATCAATTCAGCTTATATCTATTTTATTGGGTTATTAGCTCAAAAGTCCCTACATATGAACTTCATTGTGCAAAATGTTCCAATGTTGCATTGTATTTTATTTTATTATTATTATTATTATTTTGCATTTTCACTCCTATTTCAACATCTCATTGCGAAAATTATCATTTTCATCCAAAATTTCAATAAAAAAACTGTGAAATAATGAATATATCCTCATATTTAAATAAAATAAAAAGAGAAGGAAAAAATAAAAATAATAATTGCAACCATACTCCAAATTTTAATTTAAAAAAAAATACAAACCCGTCCTAAATAAATTATTAAAAAATTAAAAATAAAAACAAATTCTCTTTTCTCTCTTTTTTTCTTCCTCGTACTCATCCATCACCACCACGTTACCAAGTGGTCATGTTTGCTACTAAATGAATAGGATAGAGTTGTAAATGCCAAAAATAGATTGAGAACCAATTTTCTACTAAGGGCCCGTTTGATTGAAACGAATTCCATGAAAAATGTCACATTCGAGAAATTTATTTTCTATTTTGACTGTTTGATACGAAGGTAAAAATGAAATTCGAATTTCAAGATACAATCACATAAAACATGTTTTTGGCCAATTTCATGGAAATATAATTTTTATGATTTTAGTGATTTTTTCTTTTCCAACTTTCATGGAATTCACGACCCCAAGTGAATTCCATTGGGGAATAAAGTTGCAATTTTCCCTCCTGCCTTTTAAGACTAGTTTTCCTTCAAAGTTTTACAAGAAAATGCAGTGCCACATATCCATAGAGGCCAGATGAAAATGAACTCGCCAAATAGAAATACATAGAAGTATATAAACTAGAGTAACAGGAGGTTGAGTCGGTGCGTGCACTGCCTCTGTCCTGACAAAGGATAGAGCCTTCCCAAGCTTAATTACCAAAGAAATGACTCTAATATTAAGCACCAAGATATACACAGAGCTGAAACTGTATATAGAGTTGCCGCTGAAGATTACTGAGGAACAGTGCCTACAATTGGTGTCGTTATAGTGTTAGGAGTTGCCAGTGAAACTGTAGTGGTAGATGGTGGGGTAGTAGTGGTTCCTGGCGTTGCTCCGCCTCCAGCTACAGCTGCAACGGTAACTTGAAGTTTCATTCCACCACTGCAATGGCCGGGACACCACAAATGAAGTAATGCTTACCGGTAGTCTTAAGTGTGATTGAGGTTAAATTGAGGGGGTTTCTTGAGTGACGTGGGGGTGGAGGTGAAGGCGGAGGAGGAAGAAGAAAAAGAAAAAAGAATTTGTTTTTTATTTTTAATAATTTATTTTGAATCATTTGCATTTTTTTATAAAAAATTTTGGAATACGGCTGCAATTAGTTTTTCTTTTTCTTTTTTTCCCCCTCCTTTTATTTTATTTAAACATGAGGGTATTTTCGTTATTTCACAATTTTTATTGAGAAATTGAATGAAAATGATAATTTTCAGTGATGAAAAGTTGAGATAAAGGTGAAAATGCAACAAAAAAGAAAAAGAAAAAGAAATTTTGGGACGTCATGTACAATAAAGTCCACACGAAGGGACATTTTATGCTAATAACCCTATTTTATTACCCTAAAGTTTGTCCGACTCATAACATACAAATTATTATAGCGGAAAGGCTAAGAGGCCCAAGAACTAATTGTGTACGTACAATAATAAATAAATGTTTGCTTTTGTAAATAAATAGATTTTTATAGTTATATGATTAAATTATATCCTTAGTAAATGTTAGATATACCTTGTCAGCAAGGCCGATTTAAAGTTGGATTAAAAAAAAGAAAAAAGAAAAAAAAGCACGCACTTCGTTGCCACCAAAACAAAGATGTTAGCTTATTTTAAGAGTTAAACAAGTAAAAGATCAAAATATTCTTGAGCTTTATAAAAATATCTAGTTCTCCATCAATTAAGCTAACTATTGAAGCTTATTTTGTTAATTTGTTATACTCATTTGGCTTAAAACTAAAACAATTTTTTAGACGTAAATTTTAATGCAAGTACAACTTATCCAAACATGGATTTTAAAATACAATTGTTGAATAATTTTTTTATTTTTATTTTTTTGTGAATGATTTTTGATACATCAATGTTTCACGCGATGAGTTATGGGCCCACAAGAATTGATTGAGAAATGGACACTCAATTTTTAGGTCTACGAGCCAAACACATTGTAGTCGCGAAGACCTACAAGTGATTCCACAATTCAATCCTAATCGAGCACAACTAAACAGGATATTACAGAATAAAGGCCACGTGACAATGGACTAAGCAATTGACAACGACATAATACTTAACAAGAACAAAACAAACATCTTGACTTTTATCTACCATATATTTTTCTTTCAATTATGCTATTTGTGAACAAAAGACGGTGTAGAAGCAATGCTAGAAGATGAATTGAAAGGAAATGATTGGATGAAAAAATTGACTGCGTTTTAAATTGTTCAATAATAGAATGTCACGTGTCATTATGTAAACCATTATTTAGACTTTGATGGCATGTAGCAAGATTCATTTTCTCTATAAGTGTGATGTTTTTCATTGAGGTCAATAGTCTATCAATTTGACTTTTCACACTTGATTCCTATTTTTATTTGAGCATCGGAGTGTCTACAATCGGACATTTTAACGTATTGGATGAGAACTCAACTTGTTCAATTGACTGACTAAATTTTAAGGTCAAAAAATTTTCATTCAAATATTGCATATAAGAACTT